TCCTCAGATCTCAGCCTCCTGAGCCACCAGCACCCAGCCTTTTCCTTCTTTTGGTAGATTTTGAGCACTCCCTATTTCTGCAGTTGCACTAAACACCCCCTGTCTGGTCTTCGTCCATCCCACCAAAGATGGTCGGGGTCCGAGGAAAAGTTAAGTGCACTGCACTGCAGTGGGGAGACTATGGGATGCAACAGGGAGTCAAGTCAAGCAGGAACTCGTTTATTACCATACAGTAAGCACTTTTTAAAGCATAAGACTGCGTGGGAAGGGAGGAAAAGGAACCAACCAATCACTGTAAAGGTCACACCCTATCTTGCACCTAAGCTTCCAGGAGCTGTTTACACACTGAACATAAACAAATCCGGCTCTGCCCACTCAACTTCCTCAGCACCATCCTTGCTGCCTGTTTGCCCTACAACATCCCCCCCCCCAAAAAAAAAAAAAAAAAAAAACATGAGAGGCATAACAAACACATGGTCCTTGACCACTCCCCTTAGGAACAGACATACAAAGAACTGACAGAAGCCCGATTTCATGCAGCAAATTATAACTCACAAAGGGCGTTTGCTTTTCATGGAATATCCTTCTAAGGAAGTTGTGTCATTATCCCTGATGACAAATAGTTTCAAGGAGGTTAAAGTGTTATATGGAAACTCGATCAGGAGATACAGAGAAGCTACAATTTGAGAGGTCCAGTCAGGAGTCTTTATTAGGAGGCTGGTGATTGCAGATGGACTAGCATTCCAAATAACCTGTAGCCCTGAATGCAGTTATTACAAAGGCACAGAACACATCAAGGCAGATGTCACACAGTATGGGGACTAGCAAAGCTTGTTCTACCAGAGCAAGCTTTCTAGGGGGAACAATCAAGGACAGCTAAGGGCAAGTATTCTCTGTAGCAAAACTTTCCTGGAGCTAAGCAACTGATGACACGCCTGCAATTCAAAGAATATCGTCTCTGTATTACTTGACAACCCACAACACAGCTGCAGATCAAAGAAAGTCCTCTAACAGATCAAAGAAAGTCCTCTAACACCTCTAGAGTTCTTGGAACTGGGCGGAAATTCCCCATCATCTATTAAGAAGCCAAAATGATCATGAGGACAAGATGGCGTTACTTAGCTCCAGTATCCATATTTCCAAAGTTACTCTTTCTGGGGAAAAAACATAAAAGTTCTCTGGAAGTTAAATGAGCTCTGCACTCCCTCAACCTCTAATTAGACACTTTTCTGGGATGTGAAGCTACGTTACACTTGTCAGAACATACCCTAGAGTCTGTCTTCCTGGTTATACTTGTTTCTATCTAGGAACTTCAGTATAGTGAAGAAGTTAAACAGAAAATGAGGGCTGGGGGGCTGAGAAAGTGGCTCAGTGGTAGAGTGTTTGCCTTGCATGCCTGAGGCCCTGGGTTTGATTCCTCAACACCACATAAGCAGAAAAAAAAAGCCCGAAGTGGCATTGTGGCTCAAGTGGTAGAGCGCTAGCCTTGAGCTGAAGAGCTGAGGGACAGTGCCCAGGCCCAGAGTTCAGGCCCCACGACCGGACTCAAAAAAGAAAAGAAAATGAGGGCTGGGAAGGTGGCTCAGTGGTAGAGCGCTTGCCTTGCATGCCTGAGGCCCTGGGTTCGATTCCTCAGCACCACATAAGCAAAAAGCTGGAAGTGGTGCTGTGGCTCAAGTGGTAGAGACTTGAGCTGAAGAGCTGAGGGACAGCGCCCAAGCCCAGAGTTCAAGCCCCACGAACGGACCCAAAAAAAAAATAAACAGAAAAATGACTAAGTAAGCCAGGCGTAGGTGGCTCATGCCTGTAATCTTAGCTACTCAGGAAGCTGAGATCTGAGGATCATAGTTCAAAGCCAGTCCAGACAGGAAAGTCCATGACATTCTTATCTCCAATTAACCACCAGAAAACTGGAGGTGGCCACTGTGGTTCAAATGGTAGAGCTCTCGCCTTGTGCTGTAGAGCCGAGGAACAGCACCCAGGCCCAGAGTTCAAGGCCCACAACTGACCAAAAAAAACACAAATGCCTAAAAATATACTTTTAAGCTAGCATTTCAATTGTAACTTTGGTAATAATACTTTTCTAGGCATTCTATAAATGTAGGCGCTGAAAGTTTCACAAGAGAAAAAATATAATATGACATAGCAAAATATTAACAAAATGATCACAAAAATCTGATCTACATGAAAGTTTAGTGTGTATTAATTAAATATAATACTAAAGGTGATTTAATCTAGTAATGGAATTGTGGACAATTTCTTTTCTTTTTTTTTGTCAGTCATGGGGCTTGAACTCTGGGCCTAGGTGCTGTCCCTAGGTCTTCAGCTCAAGGCTAGTGCTCTACCACTAGAGCCACAGCACCACTTCTGGGTTTCTGAGTGGTTTATTGGATATTAAGAGTCTTACGGTCTTTCCTGCAGGACTGACTTTGAACTGAGATCCTCTGATCTCAGACTTCTGAGTAACTAGGATTACAGGCATGAGCCACCAGCGCCTGGCATGGATAGTGTCTTATCTTCCACTTTTCTTTAATAAATTTATAATCCTAAAAATATTATGGAAACAAAAAAATGTGAATCATCTGTTTTCTCCCTACATAAAGTTGCAACAAAATCAAACCTTTCAAGTCTTCCATGTGACTCAGGCACCATATATATATTTTATATATATATATATAATATATATACATATCTGTGTGTGTATGTATTTTTGTTTGTTTTTGGTTGTGGGGCTTGAACTCTGTGCCTGGATGCTGTCCCTCAGCTCTTCAGCTCAAGGCGAGCACTCTACCACTTTTTCTGTTTTTTTTTGGTCCGGTTGTGGGGCCTGAACTCTGGGTCTGGGCGCTGTCCCTCAGCTCTTCAGCTCAAGGCTAGCGCTCTACCACTTGAGCCACAGCGCCACTTCCGGCTTTTTTCTTATGTGGTGCTGTGGAATCGAACCCAGGGCCTCAGGCATGCAAGGCAAGTGCTCTACCACTGAGCCACCTTCCCAGCCCAGCACTCTACCACTTTGAGCCACAGCACCATTTCCAGTTTTCTGGTAGTTAATTGAACATAGACATTCCTCTGCTGGGCTGGCTTTGAACTATGATCGATCCTCAGATCAGCCTCCTGAGTAGCTAGGATTATAGGCATGAGCCACTGGTGCCTGGCTGTTTTGTTTTGTTTGTTTGTTTTTTAAGATCGGGCTGAATGTGAGGTCCCCCCCCCCCCCCCAGCCTGCCAAATGCACCACTCTGTTCAGCTCCTGTTGATTTTAATCTATTGTCTGTTTGGCTAACTTCAATGCACCTTTCTTCCCCAGGGTTTCTGCAGTGTCCAAGAAGGAAAGTCTCACAAGTTGTTCTGGATAAGATCAGTGCCTTTTCAGCCAAGGGCAATATGAATCAAGTGTTTTACATAAAATATTTTTCCATTGTTCCCTAATTCCTTCTTTGAAACATTATTCTCCTCTCTGGACAGAGAACAAAACAGGCAACTCCCCAGAGCACTGAACACCTGCTGCACCTCCCAGGGGGACAGATATCTAGGCTAAAAATGGTAACTGCAGCAAAACAGCTCCCATCAGGATATTCTGGGGGTGGAAGCCCCTGCTTCCTGGGAACAAGGGAGACTTATTCTCCCATTTTGCAGCCATCCAATGGGGTTTTTGTTTTTGTACCCATTGGTGCCTGGCTGTTTTGTTGGTGGTGGTAGTAGTAACAGGGTTTGTTGGCACTTTACTCCTCAAGCCACACTTCAGTTTGTCTTGCTCCTTGGTTAATTGAAAATAGTCTTATGGACTTTTTTTTTGTTTTGGTCAGTCTGGCTTTGACCCTCGATCCTCCGATCTTGGCCTTTGAGTAGTTAGGATTACGGATGAGTGATATGCACCCTACCATATTATAATTTTAAGCTAACTTCTTTTATTTCTATCAATTTCCCTACCACCTGAATAGTAAAGTATGTTTTTTTAAATTTGTTAGGGATGGAAATTTACCAAAAAACAAAAAAAAGCTACACAAGGGCTCTACAAGTGAGCCACACCCCCAGGCCTGCACTGTTCTAGAAACACAGTGGACCTCTCCGCGGTACTACCAACTAGGTTTCTCTTCTGCTGTCTTCACTTACGCCTGAGGAAAAACGTAGAGGAACAGATGTGAGCTCGGTAAGCGAGCTGGGGCTGCACAAGCCCTGACCAGGACGCCTCGTGCCTTGAGGCAGGAGACCAGGTGCAGCTTTAGGGCGGAGGACGGTGATAAACCTCACCGTGTAATGACCCAGTGAAGGGAGAGGGAAATGCCACACAGAGAGGGAACAGGCTGTTCTAATTCTGTGACCTACGCAGTCATAAAGGGACCGGGAAAAGACCTGGTGGCACAAAACACACAGAAGGTGGCGCGCATATGCTCAGTCAGACCTACTGAAAGTCTGGAATATTCCTTCTCGGGAAGGAAAACGGGGCTCAGGGTCCAGGCCGGAAGTTGTGCCGGGAAACTAGGCCACTCTCCGAGCCGTCGCCAAACATCGCTCGCGCGGCTCGTTTCCTCAATGGATGTCCAGCCAGTACCGTCCGGGGCAAGCGCTTGTTTGACGTGGCTGCGGAGGGGATGCTGCCCATTCCCACGCCTGGGAGCGGGGGGGGGGGGCTCCCCCCGGTGGCCACCGGATCGACCGTGCACCCGGCTTGATCTCATCGAGGGTCACTCCACGGCCTAGGCAGAGTGACGCTTCCAGCACCCCCGAGGCTCGGAAAGATCCCGCGGGCTCCCAGGGGGAGGAAGGAATGGAACGCGCCGGCCTGTGACGTGGCCCAATCCCCGGCCGGCGCCAGTGATGGAGTCCCCCTCCAACTGGTGGACTGGCCCTGAGGTCGCCGTAGGGGCGGGGCGTCTGCCAAAGCCGGGGAGGGCCTAGGACGTGGACCAATGAGAGCGCGCGCCGGGCGGCGAGGGGGCGGGGCCGGGCGCGCGGCGCAGGACCGGACGGTGGAGGCGCCAATGAGCGTGCGCCGCGTCCGGGGCCGGCTGGTGCGCGAGGCGCCGCGGAGAGGTTGGTGGCCAATGTAACAGTTTGCAAACCGAGGGGAGTTGTGAAGGGCGCGAGCCGGGGCAGCGCTGCTGGCCTCGTGGGCACGTCGGCGCTGCGTTGGTCTCGGAGCGGGGGCCGCAGGAGCAGGGGCTTGAGAGGTAGCGGGAGCGGAGTGGCGGGCCGGCCGCCGCTCCGGAGGGCGACGGCGTGCGAGCTCCGGGGGCGGGTCGTTTGTGGGAGTGAGGGCCGCACGGACGCCGGTGCGTTTGGCTCCTGCAGTTCGAGATCGGCCGCCCGCACGAGCTCGGAGTAGGCCCGGATCCGATTCCGGGAGTGGGAGCCTCGGCCTCGGCCAGGTGAGACTTAGGTGAACACCGGGTACCCGATCCCGTCGGGCGAGTGACCTTACAGCTCCCCGCACGGCGGCTGCGTGGGCAGCAGGGCCGAGCGCGGGGTGGGGAAGCGGAGGGGGGCGGGACAGCCGCTGGGATGCCGGGGAGACGGGCCTGATAACGTCTTCGCCACCCCAACGTCATCACCTCTCAGTTCCTGTCCAGGCCCAGCCTGGTGCTCCCAGCCACCGGCGGAGCTCCAGGTGTGGGGAGGCAAGCTGAGCCCTTGCAGGGGTCCGTGTGCCCCGCGCCAGGGGTCTGGCAGCTCGCACAGGGCTGTGGTGGGTCAGTTACAAGGCTGTGCAGCTGAGGGAAGGCCCTGTCCTCCTCCCCGCTGTACTGTTACCTTCCTTGTTTAGCGAGCTCAGGACCTGTACTCTTGTCAGGGCTCTTCTGTAGACACTCCAGGGGAGGATTAGAATGGGCATAACTTATCTGGAGGAAGGGAAGGGATTGATATAAGCTGTTCTGGCTAAGTGAGGATGTAATAGGCACGAAATCTTACAGCTTCTTATTTGTGGGATATGGTTCAGTGTCTTTCCCTTGGAGCATTCACTTACCCTGTATTTTCCTCTTCTAAGGGTACAATGGCAGTAACAGTCAGAAGACAGAGGCCAAGGAGGCTAGCCTGTTGGGCCTTGATGGCTATCCTCTTGGCAGATCTCTTGGCACTGAGCGGTATGTATCTAACAGAGGTGTCAAAGAATACATGAAGGGTGGGGAGAGGGCTTGAGGCTCCTGGTCCTGTCTGTAGAGTTACTGGACCTAGACTTTTACCTTTGTCTTTGCCATCTTTCTCCTCAGAAAGTCAGATGCCTCTTGGGAAGGTGGGGAAAGAGGGTCTCATTGACAATCCTTTTTTCCCTTCAGACACATTGGCTGTGATGTCTGTGGACCTGGGCAGTGAATCCATGAAAGTGGCTATCGTCAAACCTGGAGTGCCCATGGAGATCGTCTTGAACAAGTGAGAGCAGCCCAGGAGTCAGGGTGGCAATGAGGGTACCTGGGTTGGGGGGCAGTGCTGTTTCTTGGTAATGCCCACTACACACATTGATATTTGAGTGATTGATTGTTGGGTCTTGAGGTGCCCGGTGTCACACCCTGCTGTAAGCACCTGGACCTAATTTTTCCTTTTGCTCAGGGAATCTCGGAGGAAAACCCCAGTCATGGTGACCCTGAAAGAAAACGAAAGGTTCTTTGGAGATAGTGCAGCAGGCATGGTGAGTTACCAGTCCTGTTTGCCAGGTCGGTGGACTCAAGATACTATGCCCTTACATCTGTGCTATAAGAGGCAGGCGGTGCTGAGGTTGGCCAGCTTACCACCTTGCTTGTTCTTCACTTCCTCTCAGGCCATCAAGAACCCAAAGGCTACGCTACGTTACTTCCAGCATCTCCTAGGGAAGCAGGCTGATAACCCTCATGTAGCCCTGTATCGAACTCGCTTCCCCGAGCACGAACTAAACATTGACCCACAGAGGCAGACTGTGCGCTTCCAGATCAGCCAGTGAGTGGTTCAGTGGGAAATGCAGCCTCGGCCCTCCTGAGTTTTCTGTTGGCGTGTGTTCATGATTGTCCTGCCTTCGTGTTTGTCTTTCTTTGTCTCAACTCTTCCTCCTCCCCTCAGGCAGCTGCAGTTCTCACCCGAGGAGGTGCTGGGCATGGTTCTCAACTATTCTCGTTCCCTGGCTGAAGACTTTGCAGGTGAGTGCCATGAAGGGGCTGTGGCTGCCAGGCTTCCCAGATCTAATGCAGGGACTCTCAAGTGGGGGTACAATCAGGGAACATTCAACAATGTTTGAAAACATACTTGGTTGTCACTACATACCTTAGCCAGGGATAAGTTCTTGGTTTCTAGTGTGCAGACCTCAAGAATGCTGCTGAGCATCCTGCAATGTGCAGGCCATCCCCCAACAACAGAACTGTTTGTCCCCAAGTGCCAGTAGTGGCGAGGCTGGAAACCTGGTCCGAGGTTTGGAACTGGTGTGACCCTATTTTGTTGTCCTTTGTAGAGCAGCCTATCAAGGATGCAGTGATCACTGTGCCAGCCTTCTTCAACCAGGCTGAGCGTAGGGCTGTGCTGCAGGCTGCCCGAATGGCTGGCCTCAAAGTGCTGCAGCTCATCAATGACAACACTGCCACTGCCCTCAGCTATGGTGTCTTCCGCCGGAAAGACATCAACACCACTGCACAGGTAAGCCAAGAAGGCCAGACATACTGGGTGCTGGGTCTGAGGATGGAGGCCCCCTGTTTTGTTTGCATCTCCTTTGCATAGCTAACCTTGGGCAAAATGTGGCAGCAGCCTCCTGTGGCTCCCCATAGAACTACTTGGTTTTATGATGAGAGTTGGTGGCCCCTTGAATGCAGGCAGGTGGATTCTGTGACAGTGCGTTTGGTGTCTCCACAGAACATCATGTTCTATGATATGGGCTCAGGCAGCACCGTGTGTACCATCGTGACCTATCAAACAGTGAAGACTAAGGATGCTGGAATGCAACCACAGCTGCAGATCCGGGGAGTGGGGTAAGTGGATGTTGGGAGGAGGGCTTCCTATTAAGACCCTTAAGGTTAGAGGGGTCTTCCTGGAGTACAGCTGCCTCCCTGCTATGTGTGAGAATGGCTCCCCTGAGCAAAGGATCAGTCACCATAAAGGACCACTTGCAAAGAGTCAGGGAAAGCAGGAGAGAAGGGAGGAGGACAGTTGGAACTTTTTTTTTGGGTTGGTCATGGGGCCTGAACTCTGGGCCTGGGCGCTGTCCCTCAGCTCTTCAGCTCAAGGCTAGCCTTCTATAGCTTGAGCCATAGTGCCACTTCTGGCTTTTTCTGCTTATGTGGTGCTGTGGAATCGAACCCAGGGCCTCATGAATACAAGGCAAGCACTCTACCACTGAGCCATCTTCCCAGTCCTACAGGGAACTTCTTTTTTTTTTTTTTGACGGTTGTAGGACTTGAACTCTGGGCCTGGGCGCTGTCCCTCAGCTCTTCAGCTCAAGGCGAGCGCTCTACCACTTGAGCTACAGTGCCACTTCCAGTTTTCTAGTGGTTTATTGGAGATAGGAGTCTCACGGTCTCTCCTGCCCGGGCTGGCTTTGAACCTCGATCCTCAGATCTCAGCCTCCTGAGTAGCTAGGATTACAGACGTGAGCCACCAGCGCCCGGCTTACAGGGAACTTCTTAAAACTTATTCTAAAGAGGAGCTGGGAAGGTGGCTTAGTGGTAGAGCACTTGCCTTGCATGCCTGAGGCCCTGGGTTCGATTCCTCAGCACCACATAAGGAAAAAGCTGGAAGTGGCGCTGTGGCCCAAGTGGTAGAGCGCTAGCCTAGAGCTGAGGGACAGCGCCCAGGCCCAGAGTTAAGACCCTAAGACTGGACCCCCCTCAAAAGAAAAGAAAAAAACTTATTCTAAAGAAATACATGAGCCTTTGGTCACTTTTGGCTTTATCCATTTTATCACATCCAGTTTATCACCATTTTTTTTTTTTTTTTTTTTTGGTCCGGTCGTGGGGCCTGAACTCTGGGCCTGGGCGCTGTCCCTCAGCTCTTCAGCTCAAGGCTAGTGCTCTACCACTTGAGCCACAGCGCCACTTCTGGCTTTTTTCTTTTTTGCTTATGTGGTGCTGAGGAATCGAACCCAGGGCCTTGAGCATGCAAGGCAAGCGCTCTACCACTGAGCCACCTTCCCAGCCCTTTATCACCATTTTCTTAGACTCATCTTTTTCTTTTTTTTTTTTTTTTTAATTTTTTCTATCTTTACCAGTGTTACCCTAGACCAAGCTGCTAGTGCCTAAAGAGTTTTAAAAGATGTGCTGTTTCTACTGACTTTCCCTTTCAATTCTTCCTCCATATTGCAGGGAAAATGCTGATCTAGGGGCTGAGGTAGCGGTGAGGTAGTAGAGCACTTGCCTAGTGTTCATGACATACTAGGTTTGGTTCTCAGCACTTAAGTAAACAAAGCAAATCTGATTCTAACCTGTTTCATTAAAGCTTTTCCTTTACCTGAGCCTTGCCTCCCGCACCTATCTCTAATTAAGCTCTGCACCCCAGCACATCTGTCCTCATTTGGAGCCTGCCATTGTCTCTCCTACCGCAAGGTCTCTACAGACACTGTTCTCTCTGTCCAAAACATCTTTCCTTCTCTTCACTTAGCCCTAGCTCCTGTGGAGATTTCAGTTCTGACATCACTTCTACAAGGAAGCTTTCCCAGGCATTCCTAAGTAGTGCAAACCTCCCTGTTGAGTTCAGCTAGCCTTGTCTAATACTCCTTTATGAACAGGTTCCCCCCTTCCCCCGGCCCACCGGGGCCTGGGCACTGTACCTGAGCTTCTTTTGCTCAAGGCTAGCACTCTATCCCTTGAGCCACAGTGCCACTTCCAGCTTTTTTCTGTTTATATGTTACTGAGGAATTGAACCCGGGATTCATGCATGCTAGGCACGTACTCTACCACTAAGCCACATTCCCAGCCCAAAACACAAGGTTATTATTTTACATTTACTAGGTTATTCAACTGCTAGATTATAAGGTTCTTGATGGAAGGGGCCCTGCCACTCCTCATCCCTTCTGTACATTTGTATTCTGAGAAACAAATAATGTGTAGTAAATACTGTTGAGTGAGTGGGTGGATGAACTGCTACTGGGGGTATCCAGTGTGGGGTGAAGAGTTGGGCATAGAGTGGGTTTTCACATTTGGGGTTACAGGGTTTCTGAAACAATGGCAAGATGCCATGAGAGGCTCCTGGGCCAGTGGATGGACCCTGTGTCCTTACCCTTTCCCTGTTCCCTGTCCTGAACAGATTTGATCGTACACTTGGAGGCCTGGAGATGGAGCTTCGATTGCGGGAGCACCTGGCTGGGCTTTTCAATGAACAGCGCAAGGGTCAGAGAGCTAAGGATGTGCGGGAGAACCCTCGAGCCATGGCCAAGCTGCTGCGGGAAGCCAATAGGCTCAAAACGGTCCTGAGTGCCAACGCCGACCATATGGCCCAGGTACCCACATGAAGCTGGTAGTGGGCAAGTTTGCTCTATCCAGAGGGTGGAAGATCCTGCCACCTTCCCACAGTCCTGTTCCTTTGGGTTCAGTCAACAGGGTCTATCTGGGCAACCCCCTCCTGACTCTCGTCCTTCTCCCCTAGATCGAGGGCCTGATGGATGATGTGGACTTCAAGGCAAAAGTGACTCGAGTGGAGTTTGAGGAGCTGTGTGCAGACTTGTTTGAGCGGGTGCCTGGGCCTGTCCAGCATGCCCTCCAGAGTGCTGAGATGAGCTTGGTGAGAGCCTGGCGGGCAGGGGTGCCCGGAGGCAGTTGGTAGGGGAAGGGTCAGTGTTGAGGAAGAACATGCCCTGCTTGTACCTCACCTGGCCACCTTCCTTCTGCAGGATGAGATCGAGCAAGTGATCCTGGTGGGTGGGGCTACTCGGGTCCCCAAGGTTCAAGAGGTGCTGCTGAAGGCTGTGAGGAAGTGAGTATAGCAGCTGGGCATGGGACCTCGCTCTTCAGGCTGGGTGGATGGTGCTGAAGCTTGGGACTCTTGCAGGGAGGAGCTGGGGAAGAGCATCAATGCTGATGAAGCAGCCGCCATGGGGGCTGTGTACCAAGCCGCTGCACTCAGCAAAGCCTTCAAGGTGAAGCCGTTTGTGGTCCGCGACGCCGTGGTCTACCCCATCCTGGTGAGTACGCTTGTCTGATGAGCTCAGAAGCTCCCTTTGCTTCTATCAGTGGGATCTCACTTTCTGTCCATTGGAGCCTGTCCCCTTGGTCTTTCTGCCACAAGAGATCCCTGCTGTCCCATCCCCACTCCAGAACGCGCTGTGGCTCCTCAGTGTGCCTCTTCTTTGCTGGCTGTGTAGGTGGAGTTCACAAGGGAGGTGGAGGAGGAGCCTGGGGTTCACAGCCTGAAGCACAACAAACGCGTGCTCTTTTCCCGCATGGGGCCCTACCCTCAACGCAAAGTCATCACCTTTAACCGCTACAGCCATGATTTCAACTTCCACATCAACTATGGTGACCTGGGCTTCCTGGGGCCTGAGGATCTTCGGTGAGGGGCGGGGGGACAGAATGGGAACTCCTGGGAGGTGGGGGGAGTGGCTACTAGATGACTTGAGGATTTGTGGGAGGGGGCTATGGAGCCTGCGGGACTGAAATAGGAACTAGGCTGTAGGGTGAGGGTCAGTTTATAGGCGTCAGCCAGAGTTCTTTGTCCTCAGTGTGTCCTTAGGTAGGGCCCCTGGCTTCTTGTGCCAGGATGCTGTTTGGGATTGGAGGTGAGCACGTGTTCTCCTCAAACTCTTCTTTCCCTTCCACCTAGGGTATTTGGTTCCCAGAATCTGACCACGGTGAAGCTAAAGGGCGTGGGTGAAAGCTTCAAGAAATATCCTGACTACGAGTCCAAGGGCATCAAGGCCCACTTCAACCTGGATGAGAGTGGCGTGCTCAGTCTAGACAGGGTGAGAGCACGAGGGTCCCTGTGCCGAGTAGGGACCAGTACCCTGCTGGCTTTCCCAGGGCAGATCCCACGTGATAAACACAGTGGGTTTTGGAATTGCGTCTGTCTTGGATCTAAACAGAGCTGACCAGGAGTCCGGCATGAACCTTCTCATGGCCCATATGTAGGCATTAAAACTTGCTTAAGAGGAACCTATTAGAATGGCTGAGAAATATCCTCTCTCACACACACACATCCTTTTATTTTTTGTCGGTCATGGAGTCTGAACTCTGGGCCTGGATGTTGTCGCTCAACTCTTCAGCTCAAGGCTAACACTCTACCACTTGAGCTACAGAGCCACTTCGGCTTTTTCTGCGAACCCAGGGCCTCATGCATGCAAGGCAAGCACTCTACCACTGAGTCACCTTCCCAGCCCGAGAAACCCATTTTTGAAGAACAATTCTGGGTTGTCTTTTGGTACACACACTGGGAACTGGTGTCCCGTACTGTTGCTGGGGGGAGACATGGAGGAATCAGGGCTCTTAATTGAAAGGGTTGGGTGACCATCTGGGAGCTCTAAGGCAAGCCAGGTGAGAGTACCGTACAGCTGCAGACCGCTGTGCACTTGCAGGGTTTGTGGTGATGCACGGCTTAGCATGTGCAGCTCTTGAATGTGAACCTATTTTCAGGTTGAGTCTGTCTTTGAGACCCTAGTGGAGGACAGTCCAGAAGAGGAATCTACTCTAACCAGTAAGATGAGCATGTGTGCCTCTGTGTGTGTGTGTGAGTGTGCGTGTGCGCGCGCACGCGCGCGCATGCATCTGTGGAGAGAGAAATTTGACAAGGTGGAAATTTGACAAGGTGGATGGGCCATTGCCTTGGTCAGGAAGTTGACTCACTGCTTGATCCCCCGTGAGTCTGTATGCTTCCTTCTCCCTAGAACTCGGCAACACCATTTCCAGCCTGTTTGGAGGTAGTACCACGCCAGACTCAAAGGAGAATGGTACTGATGCTGTCCAGGTAAGCACTGGAGCAGGTAGCTACAACCAAGGCGAGAAGTCTGGTAGGCATCCAAGCTGTCTGGGAGTTGATGGCCCTTAAGTTCAGCCCATGCCCGGTTAGCCATGCCCTCATCATTCTCCTCTGGACACAGAAGCCAGTCCTAAACTTCAGAGCCCAAGGCCCATTTCCCAGACAATCCCTTCACCACTTAGACTGCTATAGTCCAGACAGCCCCTGGGGTCCTCTAGTTGTCCTCTGCACCCAGCAGTGTCCTGAGAGGTGATCTCTTCTAAGCAGAGTAACTTGCATAGCCAAGCCAGGCCTCCAGGTTCTGCTGGTGACACTGCTGTGAGTCCGTGGCACTGTCTCCTAGGAAGAAGAGGAGACCCCTGCTGAGGGGAGCAAGGACGAGCCTGGGGAGCAGGCAGAGCTCAAGGAAGAAGCTGAAGTCCCAGCAGAGGATACCTCTCAGCCCCCACCTACGGAGCCCAAGGGAGATGCAACTCCTGAGGGAGAGAAGCCCACTGAAAAGGAAACCGGGCACAAAGATGAGGCCCAGGTGAGCGGAGAAAGGCCAGTGGAAACTGGGATTAAGGGACCAGATGGAAGCCATCTTTGTTCCTTGGCCTTTGAAGAAGGAAAGGCAAAGCTTTTTCTGACATCCTCAACTCTTCCCACCCAGAAGCCCAACGAGAAGGGCGAGGCAGGGCCTGAGGGTGCTCCTACGGCCCCTGAGGAAGAAAAGAAGCAGAAGCCTGCCCGGAAGCAGAAAATGGTAGAGGAGATCGGTGTAGAGCTGGTGGTTTTGGACCTGCCTGACTTGCCAGAGGAGGAGCTGGCTCGTTCTGTGCAGAAGTAAGTGGTGTGTGTATGTGTTGAATTAAGTCTGTAGGAGTTGAGTTCCAACCCACCCTCTCCCTCACGTCTGCCTCTCCTTTCCCACAGACTTGAAGATTTGACCTTCCGAGACCTAGAGAAGCAGGAACGAGAGAAAGCTGCTAACAGTTTGGAAGCTTTCATCTTTGAAACCCAGGTTGGCAGGTTGGGGACCATGCCCCTGGCCTCCTGGAAGTTGGGTAGGGGGCATCTCTCTCTGAGCCTTGCCCTTGGGCTCATGGCATGCATGCATTTGTCCCCTCCTAGGACAAGCTGTACCAGCCTGAGTACCAGGAAGTGTCCACTGAGGAACAGCGTGAGGAGATCTCTCAGAAACTCAGTACCGTGTCCGCCTGGTTGGAGGACGAGGGCTTTGAGGCCACCACTGTGGTGAGGAGGTGCCCAGGATATGATGGGATGGAAGCTTTTGCCTTCCTTTCTCAGGGTCAGAAAGAGGAGAGCCTGAGGTATGAGGCCATAAAGAAAAATGCAAGAGCTGGGCGCCGGTGGCTCACACCTGTAATCCTAGCTACTCAGGGGCTGAAATCTGAGAATCACGGTTCAAAGGCAGCCCAGGCAGGAAAGTCTATGAGACTCTTACCTCCAATAAACTGGAAGTGTGCTGTGGCTCAAGTGGTAGAGCGCTTGCCTTGAGCTGAAGAGCTGAGGGACAGCGCTCAGGCCCAGAGTTCAAGCCCCACAACCAACGAAAAACAAGAAAAAAAGATGCAAGGGGGCTAGAGGTGTGTGTCAGTGGTGGAGACCTTGCCTAGCAAGCACAAGATCCTGTGTCCAAACTCCAGTACAAAAACAAAATCAGGATGCGGGACTTTTCCAGGGCTTTTGCCATCCTTTCAGCTCCTCTCCGTACCCCTGTTGTCCCTCAGATGCTGAAGGAGAAGTTGACTGAGCTGAAGAAGCTATGCCAGGGTCTGTTCTTTCGGGTGGAAGAGCGCAAGAAATGGCCCGAACGGCTGTCTGCCCTGGACAATCTCCTCAACCATTCCAGCATGTTCCTCAAGTGAGTAGCCTCTACACCCTTTCTTCCCTAGTTCCTACCAAGGCCACAGCTCTGATTCCTGTCAGCCTCACATTCCCCCACCCCAGTCTTTTCTGCCCCCTGAGCTGACTGTCTCCTGTCTGGCATCCAGGGGCGCCCGGCTCATTCCAGAGATGGACCAGATCTTTACTGAGGTGGAGATGACGACACTGGAGAAAGTCATCAATGAGACCTGGGTAATCATTGTGTGAATGTAGTACTGGAGGTACCAAGGGTGGCAGGATGAGTTACAGTCCTCAGCTGGAGGCTGGGATGATTTCCTTGGAGCAGACATTTTCTCTGCCTAGCTACCCCTGAGTGATCCTGGCCTCATCCACAGGCCTGGAAGAACACAACTACTGCTGAGCAAGCCAAGCTTCCTGCCACTGAGAAGCCTGTGTTGCTCTCAAAAGACATCGAGGCCAAGATGATGGCCCTAGATCGTGAGGTACAGTATCTGCTCAATAAAGCCAAGTTTGCCAAACCCCGGCCACGGCCCAAGGACAAGAATGGCACCCGGACAGAACCTCCCGTCAATGCCAGTGCCAGTGACCAGGACGAGAAGGTCATCCCGCCAGCAGGTGAGGGCAGGGCGCCTGGCTCCTCGTCCCAGCGGGCTGGGAGAAAGCCTCCTTTTCCTGCAGCTTACTTCTCGTTTCCCTCCAGGCCAGACTGAAGAAGCAAAGCCCATTTCAGAACCTAAGAAAGTAGAGACTCGTGAGTTGGGGAAACTGGTTGTTGGGACAGAGACATTGCACTGGCCTGGGGTTGGCAATCTTGACGTGTCTAGATGGTCATTTGTGGTGCTGGGGATGTAACACAGGGCCTTGAACGTGCTCAACAAGAAATCTGTTGGAGCCACATCCCCAGACCTTGGCCTCTTAAAAAACAACTAAAAAAAAATTAAGCAAGAGACCAAATGTGGGCTGCACATTCTAAAATATTTACTAGCTGGCTATTGACAAGCCCTCCATTAACTTCTCCCTCTTGTTCCTTCCAAAACACAGGCTCTGAGCCAACAGACACTGAGCCTCTGGAGTTAGGAGGCCCTGGAGCAGGTGAGGGTGGGGCTGGGTATGTGCTGGGCAGCCTGGTGGGATTGAGAGAATAATCCCTGCAGAGAACTATTTGGTCTCACTGCCTCCCCTTCCCCCATTTTCCTAACAGAATCTGAACAGAAGGAACAGCCTTCAGGACAGAAGAGGCCTTTGAAGAATGATGAACTATAACCCTCATCTCCTCCTCCCCAATCCCCACTCATCCCCCACTTGTCTCCAGCCCCTTCTACCACCTCTATTTATTACACATTGGGGTGTGGGCAGGGGGTGGTCCTGCCCACAGGGCTAAAGTAACTTCTCTCTCACCTGGGGCAGGAGGGAGGCTGCTCACCATCTTCTGGAATAGCTCTGTGTTAAACCTGAACTGTTGGTTTCCAGACCTCCACCTCTTGGTCCCTACCTATCTGGCCCTGCATTTGGGGAAAAAAATCACTATTATGTCTTAATTCTTTGCCTCTGGGTCAGTGAGAGGATGGCTGCCAGAGGTGGAGGGGACCTAGTAGTGGACAGGACGTCAAGGGACACAGGAGAGTGTTCAGTCTTCTCTGGGCATCCTTCGCTTCTTTCCTCTTCCACCATGAAATCAATGTCCCATTTTGGCCAGTGTCTACAAAGCCTTGGTCACCACCTTTGGTTTCTGAGTGCCTGTCTATGCTTTTTCCCTCCAGGATCTTCTGTTTCCTAACCCTTCACCCAGTTCTTACCTGGCTCTTTCCACTGGGTCCCTTGGCTTCCTAGTACAGGAGGGCAGTTTTCTGTCTCTTACCTGACATCTCCCACCCAGACTGGCTTGTATTCCCACTGCCTGTTGCGACCCCTAGTGGCCAGAATATATGGGGAGCAGTCACTGCCCTCCAGGGAGTTGAGACATATCAAAGCCCTGCAGCCCTCCCCTGTGATTGTTGGGCCCTGGAAAACATGTAGAGTGTTTAGTGAGGATGCCAGTAGCCTGCAGGCACTCAAAATCCTTATCTGCCCAGTACCCCAGGTTTCTGTAACTACCTTTTTCCCTTCTTCCTTTTGCCCCTCCCAAATAGAGCCTTTCCCTTACCCCTTACCCACTGGGCTGACCAAAATGTGCTTTCTACTGTGAGCCCCTGTCCCAAGACGGGGATGGAGAGACAATGTGTGAATGTAAAACTGTCACCTCATTCGGAGGCAGGCTGTGGGTAAAGGGTGAGGGTCAGGTTTGGCCTGCCTTGTGTGTTACTCTGCTGGGGCGGTCAGGGGAGCTCTTTACCCACAATGCCAATGCCTAGGGAACCTGTCCTCCAGTATTCCGTCTGTGGCAGAGCTAGGGCTGCCACCCTCTCTGGGACAAAAGCTAACCCAGTTGTGTCATTCTGCCTTCTTTCCACTCCTCCTCCTCCCCCCTTTTTTTTTCTTTTGCCACATTGGCAGAGAGGGACCTTCAGGTCCCACCACCTCACTTTCTGTAAGTTTTGAGTCCCTTCATTAGAGCGTGAGGCTGGTTGGACAGGTTTGAATCAAATTGTACTTTGCTCCATTGTTAATTGAGAAACTTTCAATAAAATATTCTTTTCTACAGTTTTTGTGCTTTGTATTTTTAAAATGTGTTTCTTGGAAATAATACATTTCAGAATAACTGCATATTTAATATGCAAAGAGGTATAGTAAAACTAACTGTAGGCCAGGTATGGTGTGATGTGAGCTCTTACCTGAAAAAGGCAAAGCAGTGCCTACCTAGGAAGGGCAAAGCCCTGAGTTCAAACCCCAGTCCTGCCAAAGTAAGCTTTACTACTACAGCAAAGACCAGGTGTGGTGGCTCATACTTGTTTGTAATCCAAGGTTCTTGGAGGCAAAGATCGGGAGATAGCAGTTTAAAGTCAGTCTGAGCAGAGTCCACAGAGGTAGGGTTTAGAGAAGTGCTTCCGAGAAAGATGCGTCCAGGATTAGCAGTTGACTGGAGAGCGCGGTCCCTGAAATAGCGTGTGCGCCTCGGAAAGTTGTCAGTTCTGCTGAGAGCGCATTGCTTTCCTACAGAAAACACCTCCTCGAGGGAACAGGGATTGCCAGCCCTCAGGATTCCGCAGCTGTCTGGCGGAGCAGGAAGCACGCAGAAGGAGGTCCTTAGTCGCGGTTTGGGGGTGCTTGGCCCCCAAAGGGAGCACCATCCCCATTCCAGGAGCACCGAGACGCGGGAGAGCCAGGTGCAGGCGGAGGCCCCGCCCGCCGCCGGGCCCGCCCACCGCCGGCGCAGGCGCAGCACCGGCGGGCTGGCCCCGCCCCGTCCTCCTGGGGCTCCCGCCTCCGTCCAGGTAGGGGGCGGTCGGCGGGGGAGGGGCATCACCTGAGGGCGGGGCTGGACGCCGGCCTGGGCTCCGGGGTGGACGCTGGAATCCCGGATGGTTCCTGCGGCGGCCCTTCCGGGTTGGAAGGCGGTGCCTTCGCCTGGGGGCCACGGAAGCGCTTTCCCCGCCCCTTTATGTCCCGGGCCCTGGGGCCCCCGCAGCTCTCTGGCTCCGCCGCCGGGCCCGTGGCTCCCCTGCCCGGAGTCGGGTGTCCCGGGTGGCTTGAGGACGCGAGGCTGGGCAGGTGCCGAGCGCCTCCGCCCGGCTGGAGCCAGGGGCCTCCGGGACTACGTGCGACCGCCCGCCGCCCTGCGCCCGACCTTCCGCTCCAATTGCTGCCTAGCCGAGCGGAGCAGCCGCGGCATGCGGGGGCCGGGGACGCCGGGCGCCTCGGCCCTCCCGCCCGGGCCCGCCGCGCACCCGCCCGCAGGCCGAGCCCGGACGGACTTCGCAGGGTAATGGGGGGGGGGGGACCCAGAGGCGGCTCTGCGTGGCCCTGGCCCAGCCTAGCCCGCGGGCTTCCTGTGTGTCGCCGCCGGGCGCGTGGGGAGGGGATCCCCCCGCGAAACCTGTGCGGCTTGGCTTTGCGTGTTGAGTTACTGCGGTCAGGAGGAGGCCAGCCGCGGTGGGAGAATGTCACCGTGTGTGAAGTCACTGTGGACTACTGCTGTAATTGTTTTATGGTCGTTAATGCCTGTGCCCGATTAGTAAATTAAACTGTCACTGGTAGGTAGGGAAAAAGCGTATTTAGGTTCTTGTCTAGTTCTTCTAGGATGAGGGGGGCTACTGTGTCAAGAAAGTTACACCCCATTTATGGCAAGCCCTGGATGAGGTCCCCTCCAGAAGGCCTACCTCTAGAGGGTTGTTGGTGTGTGTCAGATTGAAAGGGACAGTGTAGAAGCCAGCTGCAGCCCATTGCTGTGCATCCTCCCTGAACTTGAGGTTCCCTCACTGAGGGAGCGGGGCTGGGTAGAGGGCGGCTCTGCTCTGCCCAGCCTCCCCTGGGCTCACGCAGACAAAAGTAATTAGGCTGAGCCTTTAATCACAGCTCCTTTCACAGTCAGAAGGACAATGCAAAAGGAGGAAAGGGACACAGGGTTCTGGCCTGGCTCTCAGGCATGCCTCCCCTCAGGGACCCCTACCCCCTCACCCCCCCAGTTTGGCTCTCAGTAATCTCCTGTTTTCTTGTCTCCCTCAGGACACTGGGTTCCCTAGGAGCCGCCTAGAGCTTAATAATTGTCCAGAAGGCGGCTATAAAGGGAGTCTGGGTGGAGGAGGGAGCAGAAAAAAACCCAGCTCAGCAGATCTGGGCACTGAGAGCCTCTAGCAGTAGTCAGAGGTGTTGTGGTGTTGTGGTCGGAGCTCAGTGTCCTGGCTGGCAGGGCCTGTTCTTTTCCACCATGGAGGCCCAAGGCTACGGCTATTATCGCACTGTGATATTCACAGCCATGTTTGGGGGCTACAGCCTGTACTACTACAATCGCAAGACCTTCTCCTTTGTCATGCCATCGTTGGTGGAAGAGATCCCTCTGGACAAGGATGATTTGGGTAAGCCCTGGAAGGGAAGGGTGGTGGGTCTGGAGCACTGGAACCAGCAGGACACATTGAGTGTGTGTGGCAGTGTAGTGTGTATGGTGTGTAGCATGCTAGAAGCGTCCGCACAGCAGGACTCTGGCCAGTCATCTGGCGCTGTGTATTGGTGTGTGTGCCTATCACCCACATGCGCTCTCAGAGACACTGTTCATGAGTGTGTTTGCTGGGTTCAGAGTAAGCTTTTCACACCTATGTGAGCCTGCAGAGGTGGAGGTGAGCACCAGGGAGGGCGGGGGAAGGGAGGATGGCACCAAGACTTCACATGGCCTGACACACATGCTACCTTCCAGAAGGAATGAGAGTCCCTTACCCCATGTCCAGAGGTGGGGCAACTGCTAGAGGTCTTGGGGTTGGCATTGGTGAGGTGGCGTGCAGATCCCAGGGAGAGGAGCTGCTTCTTTCTTGGCCTTGGAGCAGGCAAGAGAGGTAGCACAGGCCTCAGGCCCTGTGAGAACCTCAGGACTCAAACACAGATCCTCCTGTTCCTTGGGGAAGGAACCTGTCTCATCCTGCTGGGCACCTCTACACACCTGACCCCGTGCCTTCCTCCACCCTTCCTGTGCCTCTGCCCTGCCCCTAACTCCCCAGGTGTCCTCCTCCCTGCTCCCCTCCCCTGCAGGGCTCATCACCAGCAGCCAGTCTGCAGCCTATGCCATCAGCAAGTTTGTGAGTGGGGTGCTGTCCGATCAGATGAGTGCTCGCTGGCTCTTCTCCTCTGGACTGCTTCTGGTTGGCCTGGTCAATGTAGTCTTTTCCTGGAGCTCCACAGTACCTGTCTTTGCTGCTCTCTGGTTCCTGAATGGCCTAGCACAGGGACTGGGTTGGCCTCCCTGTGGGAAGATCCTTCGGAAGGTGTGTTCATCTGGTAGACCTGTTTGGATTAGCATGAAGGGTACTGGACAAGGGTGTGGGCACCCCCTTCTTGCCCACTCTTTCTGACCCAGCCCACAGCAGTTTCCTTAGGCATTCCCAGCCGGCTTCTATTGCTTGTCAAGATATTTTAGGAGTCTGAGAGTGGTGGGGTCAGGTGGCAGATGAGGGTACTGCCCTGCCAAGTGGAACTACCTTCTCCCTCATCCTTGTAATACGAGCCGGGTCTGCCCTACCCTAGCCCCTCTGTCAACATGGGCTGTGGGCCAGGTACCTACTCTCCCCCCCTCTGCCTCACAGTGGTTTGAGCCATCCCAGTTTGGCACGTGGTGGGCCATCCTGTCAACCAGCATGAACCTGGCCGGAGGGCTGGGTCCTGTCCTGGCCACCATCCTTGCCCAGAGCTATAGCTGGCGCAGCACGCTGACCATGTCTGGGGCACTGTGTGTGGTGGTCTCCTTCCTCTGCCTGCTGTTCATCCACAACGAACCTGCTGATGTTGGACTCCGCAACCTGGACCCTACCCCCTCCAAGGGCAAGAAGGGTGAGCCCCCACCCACGCTCATCCATCATTCGCTTGGCAGAATTAGCCCTCTGCCACATCCTGTGCTAACCGGTGGATGCAGGGGAAGGGCTAGCAAGGTGGGTGGGTGGGAAACAAGTAGAACTCCATCCTTAGAGCAAACAGGCGTTGTGACTCATGTCACGTCCTGGTCTTTCCTCGGAGTAGCATCCTGCATAGCATCCCAAGTTTATGTGGCTGCATTGTCTTCTTTCATCTGCTCTAGTTCTCAGTTCTCTGTCATTCCTTGAGGCCTGCAGCAGAGTTGGGGAAAGGGAAACAGGTGCTTTAGGGCTCCCGGTCACACTGGTCCTGGTTGTGCCCATGGACTCTGTCCCTGGGGCTAGTTGATGAATGGTAGGGGTGCAGTTGGGGTAGGACAGCAGAGCAAAAAGCCCGAGGCTAGATGTGATGATGCATTCCTTCAACCCTAGCACTTGGGAGGTGGAGGCAGGAGGATGGTGTGTTCCAGACCAGGCTGAGCTATAGACTCAAAAACAACAACAACAAAACACACAGCTAAAAAGGCTGGGGGCATGAGTGTTTGCCTAGCAGTTCCCAGTACTGAACACAAGGAACAAAAACACCACCACCCAAAACACAACCCCTGAAAGCTGTCTGGCCCCTCCCACCTCTAGGCTCCTCAAAGGAAGACAGCACCCTTCAGGAGCTGCTGCTGTCCCCTTACCTATGGGTGCTCTCCACCGGCTACCTGGTAGTGTTTGGAGTCAAGACCTGTTGCACAGACTGGGGCCAGTTCTTCCTTATTCAGGAGAAAGGACAGTCTGCCCTTGTGGGTAAGATGGGTGTTGGGGTGGGAAGAAATGGGTCCTACAGGGGAGAAATGCAGGCCTTGCTTCTTTTTATCCTTTATTTGTTCCTTGAGGCCTGGGTACCTCTGGTTCACCCTCCCCTCCTTTGTTCTTCCCATCACAACTCCCCCTTGCAGGTAGCTCCTACATGAGTGCCTTGGAGGTTGGGGGCCTCATAGGCAGCATCGCAGCTGGCTACCTGTCAGACCGAGCCATGGCAAAGGTGAGTGGGCCAAAGGGAGTCTTCCCTTTGAGTCTTCTCTGCATGGCTTGGAAAAGCCCTGGAGAGACAAGAGTTGTGGGACGGAGGCTGGTTGGCACAGCTGGTTCAGGTGGGAATGAGTCCAGGCTTCTCCTACCTTACCTAGGGACAATAGGTTGTTGGGAAAGGGTTTCAACTGATGTCAGAGAGAGTCAGAATCTGTCTAAATTGGCTTCTCCAGTGCCCCAGGCAAGCTGGGGGTGGGGACGGACTGGGTACAGCTCCCCAGCACGTGCTGTACACCTGCCCCATAGTGGAGGACAGGATGTTGTGGAATTTGGCCTCAGAGCATGAGCAAGGCCCAGGGCCTCCCAGAGCCAAGAACTGTGATGGGATTGCCACAGACCTGTCAGCAGCAGGCCTACTGCTGTGTCAGAGTCCACCGTGGGGGTGCTGGGTTGGGCTCTGAGGGCCTGAAGTATCTGGGCTATCTTCACAGGCAGGGCTGTCTGTCTACGGAAACCCCCGCCACGGCCTGTTGCTGTTCATGATGGCTGGCATGACAGCATCCATGTACCTCTTCCGGGTGACAGTGGCCAGTGACTCCCCCAAGGTAAATATGGAGAGCCTGGCCAAGGGCTATGCACAGGAGACAGAGCAAGGACCACTGTGACTGGGCCCCTCCCTGGCTCCATCCAGGGCCAGCTTCCCTGCTGCTCTTCTTCTGATCTGTTGCCCCTCAGATCTCGCCTCTGTACTCTGGTGTCTGTGTCTACTCTGGGCCTGCTTTTCTTCTTTCTTCTGCTCCTCTAGGATGTTGCTTTCTGGACTCCGGCTCTCCATCCTCTCGCTGAGCTCACGGGCTTTACGGAGCATGAGGTGCCTTAAAGTGATCTCTCATTTTATTCCTGGTCTGTCTCGCCACTGTCCTGCCCCTTTGCCTGTCCCAACTAGTCCAGCAAGTTCTAAATCAGCCAATATGCAGCTCAGGAGAGGACTTCTCTACCTCCTTCCCCTGCCCACATAGGCCTTCCTTGAGCTGGCTCAGCATTCTAGCTCAGTGTTGTCATTTGTACTAGGGACTTGGGTGAGTGGGTAACTTTCTGTCCCTTTGTTAAGAGTTCATTTTTGGTGGCCAAAGACTCTGATCTGGCAGAGGTAGGCAGGAAGGTTGCTTTCTGGTTCTGAATGGCACCCCGCGCTGCCCTTGCAGATCTGGATCCTGGTGTTGGGAGCTGTGTTTGGTTTCTCCTCCTATGGTCCCATTGCCTTGTTTGGAGTCATAGCCAATGAGAGTGCCCCTCCCAACTTGTGTGGCACCTCTCACGCCATTGTGGGACTCATGGCAAATGGTAAGTAGTACCCTGTAGAGTAGCTGCCTTGTTCCCACTTGTGCCTTGCGCAAGGCCCGCTCGAGGCAGAGCCAGTCCCCCCCAATGGCTTTCCCCTCACACTCAGCTCAGGCAGCTCCCCTCCCTCCTGACAGTGGGCGGCTTTCTGGCCGGGCTGCCCTTCAGCACCATTGCCAAGCATTACAGTTGGAGCACAGCCTTCTGGGTGGCCGAGGTGATTTGTGCAGTCAGCACAGCCGCTTTCTTCCTGCTCCGAAACATCCGAACCAAGATGGGCCGTGTACCCAAGAAGGCTGAGTGAAGAGTGCCGGCTCTGGAGCGCCTTCTGCAGTGCCTCCCCATTCAAACGTTAGGATGCAGGGAGGGAGTGGGCGGCTCCTGCTAGGATGGAACCTTTGACTGGAACTTTTGTCTTTCCAACTGGAACCTGTTTTTCTGTATGTGCAATGTCTCCTTCACCCAGGTGGCACTGAAAGTTTATTAGTGGCTCATGAGGTCCCAGCTCCCAGTCCTATATTTAAGCAATAACCTCTGCTCCTGGACGCCATTAGCTCATGGCCTGCCTTCAAACAGGCAACCCCTGCATATACATCCTGACGTCTCCTATACCTTTCTTCCCCTTCTGGGCCCTGTCCTGTCTCAGTTCTATCAGTTCCCACTTGGCAAGGCTGTTTCTGCAGTTGCAGGGCACTAATGGTGAGTGACTTCTGCTCTGCCTTAAGTCCTCTCCAGAGTGAGCAAAGCTATTGCCAGTACCTCAGGCTCTGGAGGAAGAAAGCAAGCCGGTACCCTGGGTATAGCAGGGAGGAGATGGAGGGGAGGGTAAGATGACTTGTTACAGAAGATTAAAACTAGATTTGATACTAAACAGTGACTCATTCTTTCAAAAGGGGTAACAGAAACTAGGCAGCTTTTCTTTGGGAAATTACTCTCATTACTGCTTCTTTCCACTTCAAAGAAGACTTTGGCTGGGCGCTGGTGGCCCACACCTATAATCCTAGCTACTCTGGAGGCTGAGATCTGAAATTGTGGTCAAAGCCAGCCCAGGCAGGAAAGTCTGTGAGTCTTTTCTCCAATTAACCACCAGAAAACCGGAAATAGTGCTGTGGCTCAAGTGGGAGAGTGCTATCCTTGAGCTGAAGAGCTCTGGGACATGCCTAGGCCCAAAGTTCAAGCCCCACAACCAACTTAAGAAAAAAAAGAAAGACTTCATTTCCCTGGAATAGGGAAGATGAAGTGTTAATGGGGCCCTTAAGCTCAAGCCTCTTATGCCTTCAACTGAATGTTGTATAATCAATGATCACTTCACAGACAAAACTGCTAGGTAATAGGTTAAATAACTTGATTGAGTAGTGGGGTCATGGTTCACAGACTGGTCAGAAAACGGTGTAAAACTAGACTGTCAGTGACTGGCTTGGAGAATCTGAGACATGGAGATAGGTGCACCTTGCTCCACCTCATCTGGAAGAGAAGGTATCCCTGGTGTTAGGGTGCAGATGAAGTGAGACAAAGCAATAAAGCCTGGCTCTAAGCGCTGGCTAATTGTTCCACCACCAGCACTATCTCAGCCCCCCCCCCCCCCCTCCAGGAAATCAATGACAATTCTGACACTACATCCAAGGTTCATAATTCAAAGTAGAGACTCATTTATTAACACTTTTGTTGTCTCCCAAAACAGTATCTCCTCACCCTGGAATTACCTCCCACCCCCCGTTGGTTTTTTGTTTTTTTTTTTGCTTTTTTTTTCACTTTTGCCTGGGCTAGCCTTGGATCACAATTCTACCTACACCTTCCAAGTAGCCGGGATTGTAGGCATGTATCACCATGCCTAGCTGGCCCTTGCCATCTGCCCTACTTCACCCCCATTCCTTTTCCCCAAACACCATCAGTCAAGACAGACTGGAACTAAGGAAGTTTATTAGAGCACTTATGGTCCTACCTCCTCCATAAATAAATCTGTACAGTCAGGAAGCAGGACCTTGGTATATACAGAAGGGAAGAGAGCAAACACTTCAGCTCAGGACTGCCCCATTTTCAAGTACACTCCAAGGCTGCTGCAATAGGATCCCCACTAGAGTGGAAGCAGAAGAACCCCTGCCGAGGATTTCAGAATTTGAAAGCCCATTGCCAGTTTAGCTTATGACCCAGGTCCAAAGGTTCCAGCCTTCTCTGCCACCTCCAGGGCTAGCTTCAGGTTCTGATCAAACAGCTCGCACCTAGGCCAAATCCAGGAGACAGAAAAGTGTGAGGCCTGAGGCTTCCTTCCCACTTGGAGTATACAGACAGAATCAGCAGAAACACTACTTTTTTTTTTTTTTTTGTCGGTCATGGGACTTGAACAGGGCTTGGGCACTGTCCCTGTGCTCTTCAGCTCAAGGTGAGTGCTCTACCTCTTTAGCCACAGCACCACTTAGAAACACTACTTTAAAGATGTAAATTCAAGGGAAGGGCCTGGGAAGGTGGCTCAGTGATAAGAGCACTTCCCTTGCATGCATGAGGCCCTGGGTTCGATTCCTCAGCACCACATAAGCAAAAAGAAAAAAAACTGGAAATGGCGCTGTGGCTCAGGTGGTAGAGCACTAGCCTTGAGGTGAAGAGCTGAGGGACAGCACCCAGACCCAGAGTTCAGGCCCCACAACCGGACCCCCCCCCCCCAAAAAAAAAAAAAAATTCCAGGGAAGTCTTTACAGTCCCAAAGGACTATGAGGAGTCTTATTTAAAAGTAATTCTCTCAAACTTCATGATTTGGGGGAGGTGTACAATGCTTTGACCACTGTCTGGGAAATAGGCTCACCTACCTGATGGGCATTTCCAGTGAGTAGAATGGATTCTTGAGGGCAAAGTCTGAGTAAATCTCATAAATTTTTCGGAGAAGAGAATCTATTCCAGCTTGCCTGGGATCTGCCAACACCACAAATTTGATCCCTGGAGAGAAGCCAAGGATGGTTATACCAGAGGGACAAAATGCAGCAAGTAATGTCATTCTGTATAGGAAAGCCTTTTCAATTTTGTAAAAGACTTGCGATTTTTTTTTTTGTTGCGATTTTTTAAAAAAGTTTTTATCTATTACTTCATCAAGCAGAAGGGGCCAAAGAAATGCTGTGACTTTTATCACCCAGGCTGAGACCAGGTTCTAGTTCTAGCTGTGCCACTTACTCCCACTCCTAGAATTCCTCAGTGCCAAACAGGACAAGCGCAGGGAGTTTTCCATTATCTGCACTAGGGAGTGAAGCAATGATAAGGCCATCTTCACTTGGCTTTCAAGTTTCATTTTGGAGCAACACTTGAAAATTCTCTTGGGTGTGTAATCTTAACATTAGGTGAATTTTCTGAACCCAGGATGGCCAGAGCTGAACATGCTGAGTAACATAAGAAATACCAGCTTCAGATTAAATATTGGCTCTGGCTTCACAAAGCCAGTAAATGGATGTGTCTGTACCACTGTCTCAGGAAAGTGTGACACCACCCCTGCTTACCAAACCTGTCTTTGGTCAACCACCTATCCCTTTGGCCTACCTATAAACACATACCTGTCAGTGTCTGGAAGCAGTGCAGTTTGAATGTGTCTGTTTCCAGCATCTCAATGCCTGAGCTTCCCTGTTCAGGAGACAGCTGCGAACCAATGGCAAAGAGCCTGTGTGTGCAAAGGAGGCAAGTCGGGAATGCACCCCTCACTTTTCCATTGAGCTGATTTCTACCTGCAGAGAATTTGTTTTACAGCCTGGCATAGTCAGGAGAGTTAATGTAGACTGTCAAGCAACTGTGTCAAAATTTCTTTCAGCTGGGCGCTGGTGGCTCATGCCTGAAGTCTTAGCTACTCTAGAGGCTGAGACTGAGGATCTTGGTTCAAAACCAGCCTGGGCAGGAAAGGCCAGGAGACTCTTACCTCCAATTAACCACCAGAAAATCACAAGTGGCTCAAAGTGGTAGAGCGCTAGCCTTGAGTAAAAAGAGCTCAGGGACAGCGTCCAGGACTCAAATTCAAGCTCCATAACCGACAAAAATAATTCTTTCAAATTCACATGACTTCTATTTTCCATTACATATTTTACTACATTAAGTGCCCTACCACTGAGCTACAGCTCCCGCCATTCCTGTTTTGCTATAAAACGTTTTACACTGAAAACTCCGGGTAAAACAAACACTCTGGGGATTATGTGCATATTTACTTAGTCCACGGCTAGGCCTATCCCTGCACATCTCATACCAGTTATTAATTTTAAAGGTCATTAATTCAGTTGCCTTCCTTTCAAGATGAAGACACTAAGGTTCAGAGAAAAGAGGCTCAGGCCAGATCTCACCACTGTACTACCGAAAATTTAAACATCCCTGATCAGCTGGTTTCACACGAACCGAACGCTCCAGGGAGGGAGGTTAGAGAAAAGCTTAGCCCCGCCCGCAGAACCAGGCCAACCCAACCGACGCCACGCCCAAGCCCGCGGCGCTACGAAGGGCTGGGGTACTTACGAGTGGAACATGGAGGCCAACATGAGCTTCTCATTCGAGGTGAGGCGGGGCCGGCCGAAACGAATGGACACCGGGTAGTTAGCAGGGTTACCCAGATACTCCAGCACCTCTTTCCCATCGGCCGTGTGCTTGCCATTCACGTCCATGCCATTGATGGCCAGCACCGCGTGGCCCACTGCAGAGGTGAGGCCTAGGGTCAGCACAGCTACAGCCCCGGGCTTCGCGGAGGGGACTCCCGCCCCTCTCGGGACCCTCCTGGGCCCCGCCCCCTCACGCCGGCCGCCCCGCCCCTTCACGCCTCCGCCGCCCCCGCCCCTTCACGCCTCCGCCGCGGCTGGCCCCGCCCCCTCACGCCGGCCGCCCCGCCCCTTCACGCCTCCGCCGCGGCTGGCCCCGCCCCTCACGCCGGCCGCCCCGCCCCTTCACGCCTCCGCCGCGGCCGCCCCCGCCCCTTCACGCCTCCGCCGCGGCTGGCCCCGCCCCCTCACGCCTCCGCCGCGGTTGGCCCCGCCCCTCACGCCGGCCGCCCCGCCCCTTCACGCCTCCGCCGCGGCTGGCCCCGCCCCTCACGCCGGCCGCCCCGCCCTTCACGCCTCCGCCGCGGCTGGCCCCGCCCCTCACGCCGGCCGCCCCGCCCCTTCACGCCTCCGCCGCGGCTGGCCCCGCCCCCGGCCCGCGCCCAGCCCACCCCGGATGCCGTCGCGCTGGCCGAAGGCGACTAGCACCCGCTCGTCGTGTAGCTTGAGCAGCAGGTCCAGCGGGTAACTGAAAGTTTTCTCAGCTTCCGCCCGTGGCGCGTAGCTGTCCAACTGGTAAATCAGGCCGCCAGCTTTGTTCACCACATACACGCTAAAAATCGCCATGGCTGCCGCGGTGACTCCCGGATGCGGCCTCTGTCCGACGTCCCCGCCCCGGAAATGGCGTCGCAGGTCCTGCCCGGCCCACTCCGCCGGCTGTCTCCCAGTCCCCCGCCCACCATCTGCGGCGCGTGCGCACTCGGAGCTGCAGGCTGACCCAGTTATGCGGAGAAACTGGTCCGGGACCTGGCAAGTCGCTTCCTGTTCCTGTTCCCCAGTTCCCGGGTAGAGCAATGCGACCGCGTCAAGTGTGGAGCGTAGCCACGCCCCTTCCCGTCCTAACTTCCTCCGCGTGGCCCCGCCCCTCGCCCCGGAAGTACTTGCGGCGGCCTGAGGTTTCTGGGCCTGTCGGAGAGGAGCACTTCCTTTCTGTCCGACATCTTGACGAAGCCGCAGCGGTCTCTCCCGCTCTGCAGGCCTTGCGATGGTGAGTTTTGGGGTGCGAAGCGACGTGGTTCTCTGTACCGGGCGGGGCCGGGCTGCTGTGCGGGCGGCCCCGCCGGAGGGCCCCTGGGTGCGGGCGGGGGTTCGGCGCGCGGGGACTGCCCCACGTGCGCGGCGGCGGGGCGCGGGCCCGCCTCAGCACCCCCGGCCCCGCTTCCTCCCCACAGCCGCCCAAGGACGACAAGAAGAAGAAAGATGCCGGGAAGTCGGCCAAGAAAGACAAGGACCCAGTAAACAAGTCTGGGGGCAAGGCCAAGAAGAAGGTAGGGGTGACGGGCCCCGCAGCTGCGTCTCCGTGTGAAGGACGGGATAATCCGCGTTACTTAAGCCATTGAAATAAGTGCAGTAGAGCATCTGCTCAGATGCGTTGATGTTACAGGTGTTCAAAGCCCCAGGGATGTTGCACCCGTGCCACCCGTGGATTTCTCAGACGCTTGTTGCTTGGGGGGGAGGGGAGACGAGCGCTTCTGTCGGGATTACTGACTGGCTTCCCTTGCTTTTGTGAGCAGAAGTGGTCCAAAGGCAAAGTTCGGGATAAACTCAACAACCTCGTCCTGTTTGACAAAGCCACTTACGACAAACTTTGTAAGGAAGTTCCGAACTATAAACTCATAACCCCTGCTGTGGTTTCTGAGAGGCTGAAGATTCGTGGCTCCCTAGCCAGGGCAGCCCTTCAGGAGCTGCTTAGTAAAGGTGAGGAGGGCTTTCAGGGATTCAATTGTCAAGACTCACCTGTCCTACTTTTCCTGGGGAAGTATTTGGGGGAGATTTAGAGAAAAGAAGTGGGAGACCCTGCACTCAGTCCACCGACCCACTCCCCAAGAAAGCCTGGTCTGAAATCATGTAGAATTAAGAGGAAACTTTGCTTTTTTTTTTTTGGTCGGTCGTGGGACTTATATTTGGGGCCTGAGTACTGTTAGCTCAAGGCTAGCTCGCTACCATTTTCAGCCACTGTTCAGTTACAGTTTTCTGGTAGCTAACTGGAGATGAGTCTCACAGGGACTTTTCAGCCCCTGCTGGATTACAGGCATGAGCCACCAATGCCAGTCAAGAGGAAATGTTTTCCTCCAGTGCTGGGAATAATCAAGCTTAGAGTTGCTATGCAATTCTACCACTTAAGCCAGCAATTGCTCCTTTAAGTTATTGTATTGAGAAAGTTTAAAATGTAAAAAGGTTTCACAGTGTAATTGTTTACCGACTCCTTGAACTTCTAAAATTCAGTAATGGGTCTGAGTGCCACATTTAGTTTAGTTGCAAGTAGAATTAACAGTTGTGTAAGGTTTATAGTATAACTAAGTACTACTGTGTGAAAGCTTTGCTCTTTTTTCCTTAGGACTTATCAAGTTAGTCTCAAAGCACAGAGCTCAAGTAATTTACACTAGAAATACTAAAGGTGGAGATGCCCCGGCCGCTGGTGAAGATGCATGAACAGGTGAGCACAGACCCAAGAATTTTAACAATGTACAAGTATACATTCCTTTTCAAGGCTCTGGTTCTGATTCTTAATTTTTCTTTTAACAGATCCAATCAACTGTACATTTGGAAAAATAAAACTTTATTACACCAGTGAATGAGTGTGTCCGTTTTTTAAGAGAAGCAATTATAAAGTTGTAAAGTATTTGGTCATATGTATGAGTGACTTCCAGCTGGTGATGACTAGAAGAATATCTGGATGGGAATAATCAGCTTTTTTCTGTATGTGACTGTTTGTTCCTTGCTGCAGCTTCAGTTTTGAACTGATGCCTGAAAGGAAATAAAGGTTAACAGGATGGTGACAACTCCAGACAGTGGCAGGCTGGAGTCCCAAATGGACCCATACCTGGACTGCCAGCGGCGCCCATTATTCCACACTCTGCCAAAAGAGGGTAGCCAGCCTGCAGTGGTGTTAGAGCTGTGGTCAAAGTTGGCCCCTACTCTGTCTGGGGGGAGTTTCTTGAGTTTCTCCTTTTCCTCTGCAATAAGGAAACAGATTTAGTTGGCTTCGTGAATGCATAGCCCAGGCAAGACACTGCCTGTGCTTTAGATTATGTGCTACTTCACCCTCCTCATGCAACAGCTCTGAACTTACTCTCTTTAAGAAACTCTTCATAGGAAGGTCCTATTGGTTGGTTTCCAGAGCTGTGTTCCTCATCTTGGATCATCCAAGGAGGTGTGGCACCTGGAGAAAGACCCAACCCAGAATTAAGAGTACTTTTAGTGGTACTGGGGAATGAGATAAAAAAAAACGCTAAGATATTAAAGGTCTTCAACTAGTTTCAAACAGACTTGAAAAAGTACTTGCTTATACTTTGTTCTAGTCTGTCTGATCTGGCTTGGAAATGAAATTCTCAGGTCTCAGCCCTTGTTATTTTTGTGTACTTGCATGCTGGTCATGCTGGTCCTATAGCTTGAACTCATTGCCTGAGCTTTCTGGTGCTTAGAGAAATTAAGGACTTTCACATACTGCTGCCTGGGTTGCTTTAGATCCTAATCCTCAGATCTCGGCTCCCTGAGTAATGAGGATTACAGACATTAGCCACCAGCCTCAGCCCCTTTTTTTTTTTGTGGCCAGTCCTGGGTGGCCTGGGTACTGTCCCTGAGCTGCTTTTTGCTCAAGGCTAGTTCGTACTCTACTGCTTGAGCCACAATGCCACTTTTTTTTTTCTGCTTTTGTGGTAGTGAGGAATTGAACCCAGGGTTTCAGGCAGGGTAGGCAGGCACTCTACCAGTAAGCCACATTCCAGCACCTCAGCTTTCTTTTGAGCAGTGCTAGGATTATAGGCTTGAGGCATGGTGCTTAATTGCACATTTTTGGTGCCTGTATTTTTTAAGTAAAGCGTTTGTCTTTTCTCGTAACTGCTGGTGTTTGTTACGTATGTAATATGTTCAGTTAATTCAGGTACCTGTAGATGGGCATTGTGATTATTTCTAATTTTGGGCTGCCATTAACATTTACATACATGTGTGAAAGAGTTTGTCTTGAGTGGGTAGATGTGGAAAGGCTGGTCATTTTTTTCCCAATGTATCATTTTACATTTTTTTTGGGGGGGGGGGGGTCTGGTCATGGGGCCTGGGCACTGTCCCTCAGCTCTTCAGCTCAAGGCTAGTGCTCTACCACTTGAGCCACAGCGCCACTTTCGGTTTTTTTCTTTTTGCTTATGTGGTGCTGACGAATTGAACCCAGGGCCTCATGCATGCAAGGCAAGTGCTCTACCACTGAGCCACCTTCCCAGCCCCTCATTTTTCATTTCTATCAAGGGTATAATAAAGTTCTGTTTTCACTATATCTTTGCCCAACACTTAGTATAATCAGTCTAACATTTTAAGGTGGTTGGAGGGAGTGATTAAGACTTTCATTTGTATTTGACTAATAAAGTGATTCTGGGGTTTCAACTACTAGTTTTAGAAACACTGGGGCCTTACCTGAGTGGATGTTACCAACTCCAGGTGTATCCTGTAGTAGAAATGGAGAAAAGATCTAAGATAAGATAAAGCCAGAGAAGAAACCACTGCAATGCTAATCCTGTTGCAGAGTGTACACTAAGTCTTTTGGACAGTCCTGGTCTCTAGAGGCTCTCGGTCTTAATAGTGGATGTGTCTAGAAGAATGTCTTAAGATATATATAGAGAGAGTTGTGAAAGAGGCTTACTTTACACATAGTATATTGAAAACTAAATGGTGCCACATCTGTTTGTAATAGATGACCAGTTTTGACAACTAAGACCTGTACAAAGATGACAATGCTGAGAGGAAGAAAAGTATGAGTGGAAGTGTTACAGTACCATCTCAACACTGGAGTGTGGGTTTTGACAGGGCAGGTGATACAGGGCGAGTAGAAATTGTCCCAGTATTGAGACAGGAGTTACAGTTAATAGGGCAAATTTACATGTTCTGGAAAGTGAGCTGAGTGTGGGATAGTGCCGTACCCATGGCAGGAAAGCCAGGTGGGCAATTATCATGAGACTGAGGGGACTCTGGCATTCTGGCTTGCTAGTCCACTGTACCTGACGACCAATGAACGTGAGAGGTTGGCCTGTCTCCATCCAGTCGAGCTCAGGAGCAGGTTGCAGGTCCAGCTGTGAGGGCTGCTGTGAGCTGCAGGCTATTTGGCTGAAAGACAAACGGGGAGCCAGGCTGCCAGGTGAGGTTCTTGGGCCATGAGGATAGAAACATTTAGGTCTGTTCCTCCCATTCCCCACTCATCTTACATTAAAACAACAAAAACAAAAAAGCCACCTTTTTCCTGCCATCAGTTATTTGGCTGTACCATTTTTCCAGGTCATACAAAATTACCAATATAGGCAGCTGGTGAGCAGCTGCATGCGTCCCATCATAGACCAAATGACCTTGTAAGCCATACAGAGCCCACAGGCCAGATGTATCCCGACTCCTACCTGTTTGTCTCCTTCCAGCTTCCTGGTGCTGAAGAGCCCTCTTCTGGTTCTGGCTCTGCCTGAGGCTGAGTTTGATTCAGGAAAAATAAATGTGTCTAAGGTGCTTAAGAGCCTACCTTAGCCATGCCCCCACACTCCAGATTCTAGTATCATGGAAGGTCCCACCCACATCACCATGGCCCAGGCTTGCCCCTGGCACACAGGGGATTCAAGCCAAGCAGATAGGAATGGAGTCTCGGACTTCTCTGAGAAGAGCTGCAAGTTGGAAGGCTGG